ATCCCCCCACCAGCACCTCTAAAAGCTGTTTATCACCACTGCGATACAAAAAAGCGGTGCGGAAATATGGAGAATCCGCAGGCAGAATTTCCAGGTTTGAATTACCTCCGTATCTGTGTTAAATTTTGTATGAATGTATACTGAAAACAAATACACATTGCTCCAAACTCCAGTAGCACCACTCAGTAACTTACCAGCTATACCATTCAGCTGCACTAAACATCAGACTTTCAGTCTGACAAACAATGACACAAGCATGGAGAAATTTGAGTAGCTGGTTCTTGTTCAGGGATTCAGCCCTCACTACTATTGTGATATCACTGCTGCATAGAATGCTACCGGATGCCAACCAGGGAAGAGTAATTGTTTGAATAAGGTCTTACAAACTAGCACCCTGTGATCTGATGACATTATTTTGCATAATAATTAGCCACGTGCCTCTGTGTGTTTGAGACCATGACCAACAAATGATGTTATCAAGTGCATATCAGCTACAGCAGCATCTTCGTTGTATCCCAGCTGAAGCAGAAACCAAAGTGATAAGACATTCTCCATTTTGACAGCATGCTAGCTATGACCAGGAGGTATGATGCCAGTTGGAATAAAGGACTTGATTGGTCAAACATATATTTTCACAGGCAGGAATCAACTAAAATCAAGGCCTGTCCTAATATTTTTTTTCCCAACACAAATGTTATGTGGTGTGTAGGCACTTCATAGAAGCCAGTCATACACATCAGTTTTTAATAAACTTCCTTGCAAAGTTTTCAGAGGAAGATCCATGTTTGATGTAAAACAGCTTAAAAGCTCACTAAATAACATGTTATATTTTGTTTGTTAAGTGTAATATTTGAAGTTGCAGACTTCAGGAAGTTACTGGTCCCAGCACAACATAACATCTGTAAAACTGCAACACTGACTCTGCTTTTATACAGATTAAACAATGAGAAAATAGGTGAAGTTTAGAGGTAATGGTAGGTGGATTTTGATACCTTTAGACAGAGCAGGGCTAGCTGTTTCCCCGTTTCCAGTCTTTATGCTAAGCTAAGATAACTGGCTGCTGGCCATAGCAACATACAGACATTAGGAAGTCCAATAGATCTCTTCATCTAACGCTCAGCAAGAAAGTGAATAAGCATATTCCCAAAATGTAGAATTGTTCCTTTAAAGTCTTTGGTATTGTGGAATTGAAATCTTGAGGCCAGCACTTATGGTGTGGTATAAAACACAAATCTATCAAAATTTTATTTTCGACATGGAAACCAAAATCTTTATCAGAATTAGGCAAAAAATGTCAACACATCAAAAGTGAAGGGAAATGAAGTCAATAAATGGCAGTGAAACACCTGTTGCCTGAGTTGTATTTGGTCGATCTCTTCTCCATATGTCCCTCCACCCACAGTAAAAGGACTTCTGTAATAATTGCAGGACCAGCCTGGTGACCAAAGCGCACAGATTCCCCTCGTTGACAGATTCACTGCTTCATAATGATGCATTACAAAGAAAAACACTTTTGAAGTTCCATTAATCCTCCGTGTGTGCGTGCGTCATTTAGAGAAACATCCATCCAGAAATGTATTTCACTCCCAATATAGCTCACAATGGAGCAGTTTCATGCTACTTGTTACATATTTTCCATTTTACATGACCCGTCTGTTTCTCAAACTTCATTACATCTTCATCGGCATGTTTTGCTCGGGCTGCAAATGAAACAGCGGGAGCTGAGAGTAATGATTTGTGAAATGAAATTTGATTCAGCATATCACTGCTTTAACAGTTTTATGAACTCATATAAACCACGGTGTTCCTAAAATGAGGCAGCAGTCATAAAAACAGGCCTGATTGTTGCAGACCCGAATAGGAATAAATGTAATAAAGTATGTTTATGATAGCAGCAAACAGTAATAGTCATCAACACACTTAACCTGTGTACAGTAATTTTACTGTCCAGTGAAAACTTTGTATCTCCAGATGAAGTGATTTTGAATTTTTCAGATATAAAGTGGTGCCTCTATGAGTTAAGAAAGCTGTCCTTTTTCTCAACCAAAATGAAACATGTCAAAAACATGTTGGATTATCTGAAAATGGAAGCTGTTCTTGTGAGCTCCTGAAAAGTTGGCATTTTACAGAGTTTTCCAAGGACAGTTGTGTTGACCTAAAATTGACTTTTAGAATAAGAAACGTTCTTGTGCTCTTGATTTTTTTTTTTTTTTTTTTGTTTTTGTTTTAAAAATCTTGATTCAGTACTTAACATGCTTCAAACAACCTTAAGCTATAAAATATATTTTAAAAATAAGGTAATTTAAATTCTGAGGGTACCTATTTGATGTGACTTTTTTCCTGCTGTATGTGTTGCCACTTAAACCCATCTGCAGAGGTCATATTCCGCTCAATTTAAGACTGCGGGTTTTTTTTTCTCCGGTGAGAACAGATGCCTGAAAACAAGACACTTAGTCACATGTGAATCAATACTGTCTGTCTGTCTGCCTGTCTGTGAAATATTTTTTGAATCACAGTTTAAGTGACGCAGCAGGTTTGTGGAAAGAGCTTGGCTGTGTCACAAAATCAACACAATTGAGATGAGACCAAGACGAAAAGAGAGGGTGAGTGAATAATAATGCATCTCGAGGCAAATTTCAATTGATGAAGACTTCATTTCATTTTGTTCGAAAGTCCATTAATTGTGTGATAATATATTTTAAACAGCAGTTGACAACAGAAAATACAGTGCTGCTCATTATAACTTCCACCTTCAAAAGCTCCTCCGTTGTTCCTCTTCACCATCACAATGCTGCGGCACATGTGTGCAACAGAAGACCAAACGTGTCAAACTAGAGCCTGGAAGTTGAAGAATGTGTGAAACACTTAACACAAAATGTGTAAAATGCTTAACAGGATGTAACGGTCATCAGTGTCTCCAAGACAACAGGACCTTTGTCTTACCAGGCTGTTTAAAAGGAGTCATCAGATCTGGGAGCACTAACTTAGAGGAGTCCTCTTGTTTTTTGTTTTTTGTTTTTTATTTTTACTCGGTAACAACATTTTAAGAAGAGGATGCACCTGACATAATCACAGTTTGAGTAATTTATGCAGTCACTGCTAACCTTAAAGGGTTAGTTCACTTAAGATTTATACTAAACACTTTTTGTTGAAGAAATCCAGAGCTGAGACAAAGAAAAAACATTTTCATAGTCAACCAGTCATTTTTGAAGAGCAAATACCAAAAATTCACAGCTTTCAGCTTGTTTAATTAAACATATTTTCTGGTTTTCTTCATCCTCTATAATAATTAACTGGAAATTTTTGCATTTTGAACTGTTGGTCAAACATAACAAGCATTTTCTAACATGTCACCATGGGCATTTGACTATTATCTGACAGTGTATACTTATATCCATGTAACTAACTGATTCCCATATTACACTGTGCTATTATGTCAATGTGTTATACTGTTTTATTGCATTGTATGTAGTACTAAATATTATTTCTATTAGATTTTCATATTAATAAACACCAAGGGTCATTAATTAACATATTATACATTATTTATCATGTCATATATCCACCAATGACATACTGACTCTGCTGCTATTGATCATATCACACCATTGTCACTTTTTGCCTTTTAATGATTTATTTAATTGTGTCATATAGTTTCTGTTTTTATCTCTGTTCTGTTTTAGTTTTGTAAACTGCTTATCATATATTTTACTCTCTCAATTTACTGCTGCACCAACCAGATTTCCCCTCAGAGGATCAATAAAAGCTTATCTTTTTTATTGTATCTTATGAACTGGGGGAAAAAAATAGTCCTTTTAAACAATACATTCATAAATGTATGTTTTCTCTACATCTTTAAACGGACGTGTTTCTGTTTGTAACACCCTCAGGAATCACACTCATTAAAATCCCTCCTGAACATGATCATTGGCCGCAATGGTGTATAATCATCCCCAGTGTAAAATGTAAAAGCGTCCAGAAGAGGGCACTCCGTCTCTGTTTATCCTCCTGTGGGTTTAACAGAGCTCTCCTTCTCTCCTTCATTGCCCGACAAGAGCCCCTCAGTGTGACAAGTTTACATAGACCATCTGCAGACCTCCCTACCGCCATAAAAACACTAATCACAAGGTCATAAAATGTGACTCCATAACGACACCCAGAATGCAGCGTCTTAAAATGTTGGCCCAAGTGTAGCAGTGCGCCAGCAAGTGACTGCAGTTACACATGAATGTGCTTATTGATTTAGTTATTATTATCAGTTTTAAATAATAATAATAAGCAGGTACCTTTTTAGAAATGTTCGACCTTGAATACCTGCAGGACAGGATTGGATTGCACCAGGTATTTGTGAACCCATTATTATTTTTGTGTGTAGATAATTCCCAAGGTCTTAGTAACTATGAGATAGTTTCAACTTGTGGTTGCACCATTGAAACTTGAGTGTCTTAGCTATGTATAATAATAATTAGCTAGAAAACATTAGTAAGGCCGTCCTGTAAACATGAAGTTACTGTAGCATCACAAGCTGTAATATAACTTTAAGAAATTACAGTTTCAAGGGGCCAAACTATTAATCAGACTTAACTGCTGATCCTTTGTGAAGGTATGGCTTTGTTTTATTCACATATGCATACTGGGGCAGAAATCAACCAAAGAAAATCTTGGTCAACCTAAATTCTACCCACTCATCAACCAAAATAATCTGCACATTATCTCCAGAATAACTAAATCTGCTACAGCATTCAGCCTGGTAGCGTCGTCTTTCCACCAAAGCTTATTTATTTACTTTTTTATGTGGCCACTGTAGTTTTCTATTTCTTTGCAATGGGAGCACTGTATATTTATACTATGCTACAAATGCCAGCAGCATGACAAGGCTTCAAGCATCTATTCTCTGCTGAACACTGCAAGTTTGGCATTTGTTTTCCTGGTTGCAGAGAGTTGGAAAATGATCAGCTGTGGGTAAAACGTAGCGCTTGTGACTGTCACTTTTTACCCAGCCATCCAATGACAATGGAGGAGGGCCAGGACAAATACCACAAAAACCAACAGTCAACAACAGCAACTGAGGAGAAATGAATACTGTACCAACACAGACAAGTCGGTCCGTCTTCTTCCTATGTGTTTCAATCTTCCCTTCGCCCAGAGTAAGTACTCTACCTTGTGCTGACATTTTTACATTCTCGAATATCTCATATTATAGCAACCAGACGTAACCAAAGCTATAAAAACGCTGCGCCTCCAAGGCGCTCTGGCACTCTCAGCTGGGCATTTTCAGAAAAGCGCCAGGCATTTTCAGTTGGGGAAAAAACATTTTTGTGGACATACAGTCATATGAAAGTAACATCAGCGATTGTCTCACCACAAGAAGTTGGTTGGCCCAGAGCGTATCAACCAAACAGTTGACCAACCAGAAGTTGTCAGCCCCCGTACAAAGACACATACTGTATGTCTGTTTCAGAGATAATAGTCTTTATTCAGTTCCGAATGAAAGGGACATTTCCATTTATGCTAACGTAATCAACGTTAGCATAACGTTATCGCCATAATATTCTGTAATTTAAAGTCTTTTTGGAGAATGTTCTCAATCTACATCATTATAAAACATTTGTTTGAGTCAAGTGTGCAAAAAATATTGTGTTTCCTCTTTGACTCACTCCAACAGGCTAATTTATTCGCAAGCTAACTTTGTCTTAACTAGCTTTATTGGTTAGTTACAGAACAATTACGTTGGGCAGTTAGTGATTATAAATATTAAGCAACCAAATCTCTACATGGGAACTAGTTTATGTGGCGCTTTTTCATTTTGTATGTATGAATTTTCACTTAGTTAAGACTTCCTTGATAACTAGTTAGAACTTAGAACAGCTGGGTCAACTTAGTGTCGCCAACTTTTTTCCAATGAAGGTAGCCAGCACTAGTTCGAAAAGTTGCTAAAAATCGCCAGATGACGGCATACGCTCAATCACACATTTGTGACGTCATCACGTATTCGTTTGCGTATAGGAAAGTGGAAGCAATAAAAATTCGCTGAATTAGATTCAATAGAAAAATCTTCAACAAAACATTTGAACTGCACGAGAGCAACTGTAACCATAGAAACACAGGGCCTCCTTTCCTCCTGTCCCACACTTACTGCACGCGGCAAGAGGAGAGAGGGAGAGACGGTGAAGGAGCCATGTACTGCGATTACTCAAAGCAGCATGCATGGGAATAACTATTTTTCCCTGACAGTCTGAATAAGTTGCTAAATTTGATGCTAGTCGCTCTTTTGCAATTAACTCACAAAGAGGGTCTGAAAAGTCGTCAAATATACTGAGAAAGCCACCACGTTGGCAACAGTGGTTCAACTGGCAAACCTTTATTTTGAGTTTGTTTTGGAAAAAAAAGATGAATCTACATGGTTTCCTTTAGAAGAAAGAGGTAGAGGTATTTTCACATACATATCTTTGTTGCTAGTGCAGTCTCAAAGCTAACCATGTAAAGCTAAAATGTGACAATGCAAAATAAACTATAGCACAAGTAGAGACGAGTCATAAAGACAGCAAAGTGACTCAGAAATATCAGTTACACAACAACATCCATCTGAAGTTTACCATCATCCATCATGCTGGTCATAACAGGCCATTTGAATCTGTAGTGACCAAATTGGTGTCTTGAATGAGGTGGTAGTTGTTCCAAATTTACCCACAATCCACTTAAATATTGTGTAACAGCAGCACAACATAGAAAGAGTCATAGAGTCAGCAACCTCAGTAATGTCGGTTCCACGGTGGTACCTAGCGTCTACAGTTTGCTATCTTTATCCACAGTAAGCTAGCGGTCATACAATAAACAAGTGAGGCTGTAGCTGCAAAACCACCGAGTGTATCGATCTGCACAAATGTGTCGTTTGTTTTTAATAAATTCAACCTTTTATTGGTAAGAGAAAGAACGTGTTCTCGTTTCAACAATATGTTGAATTAGTGAAACAAGCGCTACTGGAGTTCGAGGAACTGTTTGTTGGAACTTTCTAAAAGCGTGACCCCAACATCTGCCCGTATGGCCGACCTCGTTCTCTCCTTTTCTCGATCTTTCAAAAGAGGAAAGCCACGGGAGAGCAGTTGACGGACAACCACCGTGGAGCCAAAATTTATTTCAACAACAAGCTGACACATTATGGGAAATCAAACACGGTGGGATATTATCGCGGTGAAATCACTTTATACCACCCACTTTGTTCCCATGCTCAGCGGGAGAGAGTCAGAGACAGAAGGAGGAGAGGCTTTCTGATGGATTGTTTGGGAGTCAGGGCGCTTGGCTTCATCGGCAGGCCCCTAAACTCAGCAGGCCGGCGAACGGGCACTTGTCATCTGGAGTGTGAGGCAGCTGGGGTTATCCTCAGAGACACGGTGAGGTGAAGTGGGTGACCATGTTTGAGGTCCGCCCAGCTGTTATTGCCCCTAATATTCAACAGATGTCTGGGAGCTCGGCCCGCTAAGTCCTCGCACATGCCGGAGCAGGGAAATCAAAGCAAAGACTTCAGCAGCCGGCTGAGCACCACGACACACACACAGCTGTTAGAGGGTGCACACACTCAAACAGCTCTGTGTGTATTAAATCACTGTCATTAACCATTTAGTGAAATGATAGAGGCAATTAAGATCAGTCTTGATTTTTGGAGGGAGGATCAGTAAGCAGTGGCGCTCTCTTTTACAAAACACAACCATTCATGCCATCTTTACACATTTTTTTTTGGGTGGAGAATTCATTCACTTCTAAACTGTAGCTACATGTCTTAAATAGTCAATAATGTAAATTTTTTTTCCACATCCATATGATGTTGCTTAATTTCAAGAGCGGATAACTTTCTAATTGCAGTTTACAAGACTACCTCCACGAAAGCGAGCCACTCCAGAGCCCACAAATCTTATCTCCAAAACATTCCCTTTAAATATGTTTGTGATGGCAGTGTCCCTTATGAAAATATTTGTTACACTTTGCCTGTTTATCGTCCGAGAAATATTGCCCCTGTTCTCATCATGTCAGGCCTCCTTCTCAGGGAGCGAAACCCCTACGCTTTCAAACATGCGAGCAAAAAATCGAGTTAAATAAAAAGCACCACTGTGTTCAAACACATAATCCATGCAGAGGCTCTCGTTTTGAGAAAGTGGAGAGTTGCTTTGCTCCAAGTGGTCACAAGGGGGTTGAGCGTTTCGAGCCCTGCTCACGCAGCTCGCTTACTTTGGAGAGCGCTTCAGGGAAGGCAACATTAGATATAATGAAACATTCACTGACCGGCCCTCTTTTCCAGCCTCCTCTCTCGTTCGCTTCCATGGAGGAGATTCTGACTGAAACCCTTTCTACAAGCTGTTAGAATAGTCCAGCTTAGGCCATGCCAGAGTGACATGGCAAGATATAAGAAGAAAAAACACTTGACTCGATCACTCCTCTTTTTTGTTTTTGTAGTCCATGTGGAGAAGTGTTTGTCCAAGCGCTTTTAGAATATGTTTGTGACTGGAAATGAGAGAAAAGCAGTGAAGAAAACTCCTGTAAATTTTGCTTTTGTGTCCTTGAAGTATCGTGACACTAACCATGAATTCTACAGTGGTGAGAAAACTGCTCTTTATGTGTGATTTACTATTATCTCCCCTGCTGTGATGGTAATTTTTCAGGTGCTGAGACTTTAAATGCCTTCTGGAAGAAATAAAACACAGAGCTAAAGAAACTGAAATAACATCACACATGTTAAGTATAGATTATAACCTCTCCTGGCAGCACAGACAGGAATAATGTGCCTTAAAGCTGATCAGAAACGCAGTAGAATGAGTATTTCACTTTCAGTTTTGTGGCCTCTGAGAAGGTTAGCACTTGCCTGGACATATTTTTGCATGGAAAGGGGAAGTATAGAGTTTCATGATGCTGAATTACTGCAGGAGAAGAAGTTCACATGTGATGTTTTCCCCTTTTTTTCTCCCCCCTCCTCAATTAATGCCGTTTCGCTGGTTTCCGTTGTGGTGCTGCATGTGTCCCACACTTGGCCACAGCGCCGGCTGTGGAGACACTCCCAAGTATATAAATTCACTTAGTCGCTCTGAGACACATTGATTCGTACCCAAATATCCAGTCGACTGTGAAAAAGATAGACTCCACAAATCAAGCCCCGGCTCATAACGAGCATTTCTTGCCATCTAAAGAATATATTCATGATTTGGGGACCTTTTATGAGGAAGGTGATGGCAGATTGACACCAGATGTGTCATAAATTATCAGCAGAGAGATGCCAAGCTAAACAGTCCAGCACAAATATACAGTGACTCCAAATATACTGGTTGCTTCAAATTCAAATACTGCTCGTCTGTGCGAGTCTATTTCAAACTACTGTGACGTCTTTGAATATTCTTAGACGACACATGTACACTTGGACATGGACACAAATAACATAGTAATCAATCATTTGATATCAGTAAATGGTTTTTAATTTTACAGCTGCTTTGTAGTAAAGGTTTGGCTGATTTTCAATGGTGTTAGCATATTTGCAATTTGAATTTGATAACAGAATTGTTGTTATATGTACAAGTTTTGTAGTATAGCCTTTTTTTTCTTTGCTGCGGTAGAACTATACATCCATACTTCTAATGTATCTTATCCTTGTAACAGCTTCCAAACAATCCTACTTTCATAATTGTTTTCAGCTTTACTCAACAAGATGACTTGAATTTAAATAACTAATCAAATAGCCAGCACATAAAATTAATCAGCCACAGAGCTTGGGTTCCTTTTTAAGCAAAAATGACAAACATTTGTTGGTTCCAAATTCTCAGTTTGAGAATTTGCTGCCTTTCTTTTGTTTTTGTGAAAATGAATTTAATATCTTTTGTTAGTCCGATGGGCTGTCAAAAACTCAAACAATCTGAAGGCATTACTCTGGGATGTGGGACACTGTGTTTGTTTTATTTGTTTTTTTTTTTTTGTTTTTTTTTTTACAGTTTTCTGATATTTTAAAGATACTGTAAAATGATTAATTAATCCTGCAAATAATCTGCAGATTAGTCAATAATTAAATTTAATAGGGTCATTTTTAGTGCTGCAACCAAAGATTAATTTCT